TGTCTACATCCAGAACCCGGAGATCAAGATCAGGGTGAGCGAGGCCTCAGATGCTCCAATCCATGGGAGCTCAGTCCTGGCGCAGTGCTGCGGTCCAACCATCCCTTTTGCTCACAGATTTTAGGGGAGCCGATGCAGGAGCGGAAGCTGGTGGCAGAGATCACACTGGTGAACCCCCTGGCAGAGCCGCTGAACAACTGCACGTTCGTGGTGGAAGGCGCCGGCCTCACTGAGGGGCAGAGGATCGAGGAGCTGTAAGAGCCAGGGCCGGGTGGTGGGGAGGGAGCTGGGGGGTCCTGGGGCCCACGGCAGCTCCGCTGGGACAGGGTGGGAGTGGGGCCGAGCCAGTCCCAGGGCTCAGCAGCGCCATAGGGGTCCTGGGGGTGTCACGGCACAGGGGAACGGGGACCTGGAGGGACCACGCTTGACTCCTCCACCCCCCCCCCCCCCCTTCCTCCCCAGTGAGGACCCTGTGGAGCCACAGGCAGAGGCCAAGTTCCGGATGGAGTTTGTGCCGCGCCAGGCCGGGCTGCGCAAGCTGATGGTGGACTTTGAGAGCGACAAGCTGACAGGAGTGAAGGGCTACCGCAACGTCATCATCGCACCCCTGCCCAAGTGAGGGCCCCCCACGTCCCCACACCCTGCTCCAACCCTGGGCAGTGCTGCGGAGAAACAACTGCAAACCTTAGCCTGACCCGCACCGAGGGCACAGGACCCTGCACCTCCAAGTGCCCAGTGCCACCACAGCCCCCATCCATCACCGCCACTCCCAGGGGCTGGGGGACAGCGATAACCGTGGTACTGACAGCCGCCGGGGCCGAGCCGTGCCTTCTGCTCCTCTCCCTCCCCATGGAGGTGGATGCAGCCCCAGCTCGGGGCCCTCCTGCAGCAGCCCAGCAGCAGCCTCACTCATTTCCGCAGCTCTAAACACGCCCCTGGGACGCAGAGCACATTTCATAACGCAAACAATAGAAAGACAATCTTCTCCCGCACCGGTCGCGCAGCAGCAGCATTCACGCCTGCCAGTTAAAATGCTCCGAATGCAATTTGGTAGAGAAAAGATTGTATACTGTGAGCACGAAGCTGTTTATGTGCTATATACACATATAGCATAAATCTATTTATAGCTCTATAAATACATGCTGCCTAGAACCCTGCTGCATAGGTAAAGCAGGTTATTTGCTTTAATAACTGTTCCTGTCACCGCAGAGATGGTGCGGTGAGGAATGGGACGGTTGCCTTGATGGGAATTAACTATGCAAGCACTGAATAAAACCTCTATTTTTCACTTTTAAAGCCATGCCTGCCTCGTGAGCATCCTTGCCGCCAGAGGGGCCCAGCAGGGCCTCCCCTCTCCTCCCTCCCCCCTCTCCTCCTGGCTTCTCACCTTCCATGCAGCACTGAATCCAAGGGGCAGCACCGGGTCCATGGGATAGAGATGAAGAGTGCCCACCCTACAGTGTGGGAACCACAGCTCAGGGGGGGGCAACGGGATGGGGTCTGTGCCCTCCCTCTGCAGCCAGCCCCAAGCACTGGCATCACAGAGCCTCAGGGATGGCCGCTCCAAAGCACGGCCCCAAAAGTGCCCCAGAGGGTTAACAGGCACGAGCCCTGCGCCGCTCTCCCTTGGCAGGAGCATTGCTCAGAGCCAGAGATGATGCACAGCCGTACTTTAAAGAGCATTTGTTACACGCAGCTCTGCTGAGCCAGGCTTCAAGCTGCTCAATGCCTGGTTTAAAAATAACCGGCTGCTCCTCTGGTTCGAAGCTGGGTCCTGATAAAATAAACATTAGCACAGCTCTTTCTGAAGGTCACTCCCATCCATCCGAAGCACAGTGGAGCAGGGCTGCTTTGACAAGGAACAAAGCTCGCATGGCAGACACCAAATGCTGCAGTTATGGTCCAGCTCTGGGGTTCAGCTCGTCCCAGGGCCGGTTTCTCCTGCATTATCCCCAACCACCCTGCAGCCCACTGCACAGGGCCAGACAAATCCATGCCGTGGGCTTTGCCCTACGCATCTCCCAGCTGCCCCAGAGCCCTGCACCCAGCTGCCCAGCAGTCCCTGAGTACAGCACTGCACCACGGGCACGGCCACAGCCCTCCCTGCTGGGCACTGCTGCTCTGCAAGCAGCAAGTTACAGATGGTTAAACACTGCACCCATTGCCCAGGAGAATTCTTAATGCAGCATTAGCCCAAGTGCCAAAGCAAAGTGAGACCGTTTGCACGCGGAGGAGTGGTTATTAATACACCACAGCTCACTGAGATGCTGACTGGCCAAGAATCAGCTGTAAGCTCATTTCAGTCCTGAGGACCTTTAGCTTGGCTTTATTGATGGACCAAGACAAGGAAAAACCTCCCATAAATCACAGTGCTGCTGATAGATCTGGGGGACTGTCAGGTCTCAACAAAGCCCTTTCTGATGAGCATGGGTGGATTTTCACATTCACCCATGGTGCAGGCAAGAGAAAAACAAACCAGACGCAAGGAACAACGCAACACAGGGGTCCTAGACTGGCACACCCTTCACCCTCAGTTCTCTCGACAGCTCACAGAGCATCTTACCACCCATTTGTGACTGCTGCAGGGGAGTAGATGGCTGTCACTCGCTGTGCAGTCATAGCAGAAATCCCACCACCTCCCTGGAACTGCAGCACCAACACATGCAGCAGAAGCTGCACTGTCCTGCAGCAAGAACAGAGGGTACCAGTGACAGAACCCCCAGAGCACTGAGTGAGGCCAGCCCTGCACTGCCCTCCCCTGCAGGAGGCTCAGAGCCCATCGCCACCAGGACCCACTGACCCGCAGAGCCCAGCCCACAGGTGTGCAGAGCTCACACTGCTGCGCTCCAACTCCAGGGCCACTCAGACCAAGGCTCCCAGCCCAGCCCTCCCACCACCTATCTGACCGCTGCCTGTGTTGTGAAACCACTGCTGGTATTTCCTGGAAAACAGAGCTTGGAATTTGAGTCTATTTGCCATATTTTAAGAGGAACGTTTTTATTCTTCTTCCCTGTAAAGAAATGACTACATTTCGCTTAGCTACTCAGACAAGAATTTACTTTCTAAGGCAAGACAAAGGTAATGCACTCGATGCTAATGCAAATTCCTTCACCTTCACATTGCAGTAAAATTGAACCTCCAGGCCATCTAGCTTCCCTGTTCTTCTGGGCATAGCTCATTTTCCTTACTTGCTTATCCAAAAATCTCCAGAATATGACTAGCGTCATCTGGTAAATTCCAAACTTGCAAATGATAGCAAAGTTCAGATAGGAAAGACGCAGCTGACACCTCTGGCACTTCCCTAAAGGCAAGCAAAATTACAGGAAAGCACTTGTCCCAACCTCACCCCTCTCAAGAGACCACCACAGCATCTATGCAATGACTCAAATCTATATACTTTTTCACAATATCTGTACTTTGCTGGTTTGCTTTGTTTTGCAGAGCCCTGAATGTGAAGCCACCTCTGACCTGACTTTTTCTGAAGCTGCAGCCCTGGACAGGCTCTGACCTATAAAACAAGTTGCCCAAGGTATAAAACCTGTTGACACATACCAAACTTGAAAAGTATTTGGGGCATTTGCTTAGCCTTCAATTTCCTAAGAACAGCCCGGCGTCTTCGTTTTCCCGCTGCAGACACTTGGCAGCAGCGCCCACCTTCCTTCTGGCACTACGTGTCCATTGCTGAATTACCCCCAGACCATTCCTAACAAGATTCACCACCACCCTTTTACCCACAAGGGTGGAGACTCGCCGTTAAGATGCAGCTCCTATTCTGACAATCACTTTTTTGCCCGCCTCTACTTCCCGTTATCCTTCATACCCCAAAAGCTAAGCTGCTGCTCCAGCTGTATTGCAGACAAGCCCAGAGCTGAGCAGCTTCCTTTATGCTCTTTCCCTACTTGGTTTCCACACAAAAACTGTTTTGTGAGGCTTAGCTACACCAGCCTTGCTTCAACACCCCAATTACAACCTGTCATCCCACAGACCTTAGCATTAGTTCACCAGAATCCAGTTCTCACTCCCTATATATGTGTAAGCCAGCATTAGTTTGTTACACAAATACCTGGTGAGCAGGAAGACCGAAGGGAATACAGCCCAATGCACTGAAGCAGTTAACTGCATGGGAAGCTGCGAAATAGGCAGATAGGTTTGGACAAATTTGGTCCAGCTCTGCAAGAAATAAAAATAAAAATAGAAAAATCTCAAAGGCAAGAAAGGACATGCAGTACTCAGCCACATTTCAGGTCACCGAAACCTCTCCAGTCCTCCAAACAGCATACAAAGGCTGCTTGCCACTGGAAGGAATCATTTCAGTCTCCCTTCTCCTCACAGAAAGCTGCAGATCAAACTTCCTGCAAGTCGGTTACAAAAGCAGACTAAATATAGCCTCCTTAATGAAAGATTTGTAAGTTGCTGAAATTGTAAGCAGCTTTACTGACACTCTCCACGGCACATGAAACAATTACCAAGTTTGCCCAAAGAGACTATTGAATAGCAGTTAATTGGAGTGAAGAACCCATGAGCTCCCCCCCAAAACCTCTAAGAGAATTAATACACAATAAGATGTGAAGATCCACCTCCTCTAAAGCAGAAAGGCTTTGATTTCACAGCATCAAAACCCTGCAGGAACAGCAGCAGCTCTCAATGCTTGTACAGGAGAGTCAGTTTCCCAGCTTCTGGGTTTGGTTTCTGTTTGTTTGTTTCCAAACCTAATTATTTACTCGTCCTCCATGCAACCTGAATTAATGTACGAGGAGTTAGGAAGCCAGCATCCCATACCTTGTGCTCATCAACCAGAGGTCAGTTCTGAGGAGCAGGCACTGTTAGAAGGCACGGATGACAGCTTGGCTGCTCAGAATAATGCTCACATCTTCCAACTTGGCTGTAAGGAGCATCCTGCACTCTGTGTCCTTTAAATACAGAGGGTAAAAACAAAGCAAAGCCCACCGTGTGTCCGAGCAGCTCCTGCACTGGGAATAAAGCAAGTAGAAGCAGCAGTGTTCAACGACACCCTCTTTATTCAAAAATATAGATCTATGAGACATTTCAGAATATACTGCTGTCACAAACGGCAGCCTATATGTCTAAATTAATTCCTAAAACAATTCATATACAGATTTTAGCATTAAAAAAAAAAAAGAGAGACACACCTTGGGGAAATCTGTTCAACCTTGAGAGAATGTTACTCAGTTCACCAGATGCCCTTTGCCCAAAAAGTAAAACAAAAGTAAAACCCATGAGACTTCATTTAAATTAAGCAAAATAAAACACACGCACGCTTGGAAATAAAAAGTCAAAACATTTCAATCATAAAACAGAAGACAGACATAACCACTTTCTCACACGAGATCTGCCCAAAACAACAGCATGAGATGGCAACACATCTCCAGCACATTTCTTTTTTTAGGACAATTTTGATCTTTTGTTTCCCATTGCAATGGACACACGTTCAATCCAAGGTCAGAGCAATTACTGGTGAAAGCAACCTCAGGGTACCTCCACGAGTTGAGGCAGGAGAGAAATTCACCTTCTGGTTTGGGATTCAGAGCTTCGGTGGGTCGTTTTGTTTCCCTTGATTTTACTTTTTTTTTCCTTTTTAATTTTTGGCAAAAGCAGAAAGAATTGGGTGCTTTATGCAAGCGTCATTTGGTCCACAAATGGTTGCAAAGATCAAACCAATTCATGGAAAAAAGAATTCTCTGCCATCGTGAAAATTCCTGTAAGTGAAAAAGGAAGCGCATTTCTTGGCTGGGCAACGAGGGTGCAAGAAGTTTCCTTTTTACAGAACAAAACCAAACGAAAAGTGAGGCGTCAGTAAGAAAAGCACACGAGCTTTTCAACAACTGAAAGACCAGAGACATGGTGTTATTTCACTGAATGCAAATAAGCTACTGAATACTCCACAAAATAAATTAATGAGAACGCAGACCAAGGTTTGCATTTCCATAGGTATCTCCTCATGTCTTTGATAGCTGCAGAGCACAGCGAGGCACAAACACAGCACATCAAGGTCACCAATCCCAGCCTCTCTGTGACAGAGCCTGTGTTGTCAGACCAAGTGTTTCCAGAAGATTCAGGTGTTCTATAGAGATATTAAACAGATTTTTATCCCAAATAGGAATGGTTTTCAGTGATGAGAGTCCAGCTTGATAGACCTAACACACAAACTGAAATCTAACGACACCCATGGCAGCTAAAATATTAGCTAGCAAATTAAAGAGTACTCTATTTTTTCCCCCCAAATAATAAAATCAACTCACAATCTGTGATACGAAATCAAGTACGTCCTCCTAATACCTACATGCATAGATACAGCACATGTGCATACTGGATGTGTACATGGGCCTACTTTCTAGATTAAAAAAGTGTTTATATCACATTTAACTTCTGTTCATCAAATAACTTGACTAAAGCTACAGGGAGAATTCATAGAATGCTTTCAGCACGACGACCTTCAGAGCAGATCTGCCACTGGGACGTGACCAGTTACAATCCACCATTCCAGCCTCTCAGTTAAAGCAAAGCTTCTGTGATCGTTTATTTTGTATAATGAAGAGGAAAAATATAGCATAAATCTAAGGTAGCTAGAACAAAATTTACTTCCACTCTCGTTTAGGTAATATCCAGTTCTGCATGGCTCAGCAGAGCTTAAATTATGAAGCTCTCTAATTCACAAAGAAAAGCTGTTTATTTTTATTGCCTGTGGTGAGTTTCAATTTATGTTCATGCCAAATAGGAACTGTTTTTTATGTGAGGCCTACAACAGCATGAGGAACTGTAGATTTAAAACGTTTGTGCCATTGCTCAGTAGGTGCCTTTGTCCTTCAGTGACACGATGCAGTACCTGCAGACACACATGCACGCAGCCCTACAAAGCCCACCAGCCACCACTGCTTTCAGATGCGAGGTGCAGAGACCCAGCAAAAACAGGCAAGACGTTCTGAAATAACACAATAGTTTCACAGAGGAAAACGTCACACGGTCAGCCTTCCTTTGAACACCTTCCAGATATATATGTACATGATTCTCATGACTTTCGTGGGGTAACAAGTGCTAAGAGCAAACAAACTAAAGAGGAAGGAAAAATTATGAGAGAAGATTGCTTATACGGACTATCCCCACCCCCTTAAGAGCTCACAAAACTCGCTCTTTATCCTGCCCTCCTTGTGAGCCAGTGTACACAGAAAGAGGGTGAGCATGAGCAGCCAAGAGGTTGAAAGCAGGGTCTGAAAGTTCTTTCCTACTGTACATCTGGGAAGACTGGATTTCCAGTCAACAGTCTTCTCACTTTTGCTGGTAATAATGGAAACGAGGGGACACCATTTGTTCTAGTCTGTTGAAAACAGGTCACCAGCAGACGGCAGAGGTGCCAGACCTCCTGTGACGTTGGGCAGCAGTGACAGATCTGGAAGGCTCTGGATGTGAGATTTCAGCTCCTTGCGGACCTGGGTTACCCGAGCGAGCTTCTGTTTGTATTCCTGAAAGAGACAAGAGAGCAAACGTCAAACACAGGTTAACATACAGTGCTTTTAGTTAAGCCAGGATTTCTTTTTTGTGTTTATTTTTAAGAGAGGATGCTGGGAAAAGGTGGCAAGGTATTGGTTCTCTGTGCTGCTACTGCACGACTGCAGAGCTGCCAGCTGCACCCAGACACACAGCCTGCACCAACAGGAAGTCCACAAGCATCTCAGAGCCACTGATCCTGCCACGATGCCTGAGCAGAAGTTTGTAAACGCCCCCACAGCCACTGAGATCTGAGAGAATATTTGTCAGAACTGTCATTCTATAGTTGCTCTATTCCTACATCCTTCTCCAATTTGTGCAGAGCCCAAGGAGGAAACTGACAGAGCATTCTTCAGGCACATCCCACTGACAAAGGCAGCAGGCTGAGGAACACCACAGGTATTAATGGCCTGCCGAAATGTTCTTCCTCCTACCCCCAACTTGATGAATTCTGAGTGTTTGGTTGTGGAATAGGGACTCCTTGTTATGAGACAGACAACACATGTTGGCAACCCCAGCAGCTGTAACATTAGACTGACATGTGAGCACAGAACACAAGTGATCACTAAATATAAACCAGACAAAAGTTTGTCCACACTGGATTGAAATCAAGCAAAAGGCAGTTGCCAACATTTTTAGAATTTAATTACAGCAAAAGGAGAAGAGCAGTAAGTTAAATTTCCCCGAAGCAGCAGCTTGCAAGTAGTTTTCCCACAAATGAGTTTTGGATTGAGTGTGAAAATTCCATTTTATGGACAGTTCTCCTCCATGTTTTCATAAACAATCCAGCCACAGGACTAATGCAGACTAAGCAAGTTTGCAGATGGTACTAAATTAGGAGTTGTTGACTCCTGTGGGAGTGGAAAGGCCTTGCAGAGAGATCTTGTCCGATAAGAGATAGGCAACCATCAGCTGTGCCTGGGGTGCTGCTCTCAGACACAGGGTGCTGCCCTGAGTGGAGCTGTGGTGGGACTCCGACCCACACAGGTCCCTTCAACCCGGGATGTCCTGTGATTCTATGCATTATTTACCATCCTCAGATGTCCCTACGCTCCAAAGCAGAGCAGGTAACAGCAGTCAGTACTGCATAACAAGAAGACAGAAGAAGAGCCTGGACCCTGATGCTGACAGACCCTTACCTCGGTAAGTTTAAGAGCAGACCAACACACACTCCAGTTATTTAACACAAATCCCAATTAAGGGTTTATATCTGCACGATTTTCAAAGTTCTGTGACTGTCACGTAAATATTTAGAATCACAAAAACCAGCTGTTTAAATAAAAAACAGCATTACATAATTTCTTCTGGAAAGCACTGATTTTTACCTAATTATGTGTGTCAGTGGGGGGGGAAGCATCTCCAAAATGAAATGGGAAGAATTATGTGCAATAGGCTTCCATAAAGCCCGTCGTATCATTAATACGCATTTCTTAATTACTTGGCAAAGAGAACAATTTACCAGAGAACAGAAGTTTGTCTTTGAAGATCAAATGGAACTAGTGCACATTAAATCAAAATATGTTTCTGAAGGCTTTACAACTCCAATCCAATCTTTCTAACCTTCTCAATGATGGAAATTCTCTTCACCTTCTCCAAATATCAAAGCGAGCAGTTCCTGCAGGGTTACAAGCAATGAGTTTACATTCTCTCTTTCATTACTTTGAATTAGAACAGTGAGAGCAGCAGAACTGATGGCAACAGCTCAGAATACACTTGAAACACCTATTATAAATATATTCCATACATTTCCAGCCAGCCCCAAACTAGAGGGCCCTTTAACACCTTTCAAACTTAGGTTCTTTTACAAGGCTCAGGGAATTAATGTAACAGCTCTGCTAGCATGCAGGGATTAATACACTGAAATAATTACATTCAGAGCTCTAACAGATACATGAAGTCCAGAGGGGAACAGCAACAGCAACAAAAAAAGCCACTGGAGAAAAGGTGGGCTTGTTCATTTAGGGCTGCTAGGTTTTGGTTTGGTTTCGTTTCATGGAAGACAACTCAGGATTCAAATAAGAATGCACCCAACATCCGCAGTCCTGCCACTCCAGGAAATATTTCAGCAGGGGAACAAGGGAAGAAAATAGAATTATGAAGACAAAAAAAAAAGAAAGAAAAAAAACAGATTTTTAAGCATGAACACAGAAGAAAAACAGATAAAGATGAAAGCCATCGAAGCACTGAATTCCTACATCTAACATTTCTCCAAGAGAACACAGAAGCCAAAGCTGGGAAAAGAAAGAGACTGGAAGCTGCATTCTGCTCAAGACTGGGATTTCACAATTCAGGTGAGATGGGGTCACAGCAGAATGCCAGCTCCTGCACATATGGAAGAGACAGCAAGAATTCTTGTCTTCCAAATGCTTACAGAAAGAATGGAGAGGAGGCTGGATTTAGAGTGATTTTTTGGGGGAGGAGGGGAGCAGGGAGGTGACAGGGCAGAATTAAAAATAAATCAGTGATCAATAACAATATAATTGCAATTCAGAAGGGAGAGATGGATACCAAGCCAAGAAAAGGCAGCACTTCCTCAAGAATGACAAACTACCAAGAGTGAATAACAGCAGAGTTTTCCCCCCTGTAGCAACTCCTATTAAAGATAGGAAAAAAAAAAAATCAAGAATAGCAATGGAGCCAAAATCATCCAAGTTTAGTAAATGGTGTAGAAAGCACAAATTCTAAGCCAAGAAGAGATCTCCAGTGCTGCCTGAATTGCCTAGATCCACGTGCAAGAATACTGTAAAAGCAGATAAACCCAATGCCCACCTCCACTGGAAGACTAACAGCAGTCGTGCCTGAAAGCAGCAGGGCAGGAGGAACAGGGCAGTGCTGGTGGACAGTCTAGATGACAGTACTCTACTTTCAAGCTGAAGACATTTTGTGTGATTACCTTTTTTTTAAATAGATAGTTTGAGCCTGATTTTCTTTTTAAGTAACTATTTATGAGAGCAAGAATCTTTGAAATGCCCTTGCCTGTTATCCCAATTCTCCGTAATCTTACCTTACCTTATTAGTAGGCTAATGAAGGTGTTAACTAGCCCACACAAAGGTTCTGGTTAAAGCAGTAAGGCCTAAATCCCACCTGTTTAAAAAAAAAAATACAGGAAAAAAAGCCAAGAATACAAAAAGACCCACTGGGAAGATGCAGAACCAGCCTCAAATACATCAAACACTGGCTCAGAACGGACGCTGTTCAGGAATGGAAACAACATTCTGAGGGAGTAATCCAGGAACTCTGATTTCCTAGAAGAGCTGGGCTCTCGCTGGGCAGATCAGATACACAACTGACCACGTCCCAGAAGTGCCTCGTGTGTGCTTCACACTCCTGCTCCAGCACCGAGCCGTGCCAGCTGCCACAGTGCAGCAAAGGAGCACAGAGGCTGAGCACCAGTGCAGGGGCAATGGGGGCTGCAGGAGGCACAGCGCAGCAGGACGGAGTGCCTCCAAGAGGCCCAGCTGCAGCCACCACCGCCCCGGAGCTCCGAAGGCCGGCTGCAACATGGAAGAGATGCTACCAGGAGATACAGCCCTGCGTCCTCTTACCTTCACAGGAAGCACAGGGCATATTTATTTGCATTTACATTTGCCATGCTCAGGAGCACCCCTCTGCTCTGCTCAGGAACACGCAAGCAGGGGCACGTAACCTCCTTCCAGGCACAGTGGTTTTCCTTTCTCCCCACAGACCAAGTGGTGGTCATGTTCTGCATTACAGAATTGGGAGCAACATGTTTTTCATTTAGCTACCTTACATGACAAGCTTCGAAACTGCATATTGCAGATTCTTGCATAAGGTCCATCTACTCCATAAAAATCCACAAGAAATGAAGTGCACTTACAAGAAATCACTGCTTGCTGAGATCTTAGTTTGGACTCCATGCATCTAGCTAATTGCCTTGCTGCAGAGTAGGTTTTCATTAAGATTAACAGTATCTGGATGCTATTTGCCTTTTTTTAGGCAAAATAATGAGATCTTTGCTGTAAGCAGGACTTTGAGACAGAAAAAACACTGGCACTGTGCCACATGAATGCCTTTGCTAATCAGTATTCCTTCTCAGTACGCAGAACTCTACATCCACACCGTCCAAGTGAATTGGATGTTTAGTCCCTGAAATAAACATGAAATCAGAATTAAACACCACTGAATAAACCTGATGGAAGCGTTTCATTCAGAATAAACCTTGCTAGAACATTACCAGACTGGCTGGTATTGATGTGATAGGAAATCCTTCCAAGGAGCGCTGCACAGCTTGGAGCACTTGGGGAGTTACACAGTGCAGACTTCACTTGAGCTTAAGATTTTCTCTAGGTCAAGCAGCAACACGTGGAATGCCATCACATCAACTGTAACTTCTGCAAAGCATCGAGTTAAGCATTAATGAGAATTCAGAAAGTGACTAAGAGCCCTCAGCCACTGTTTTGATGTGCCATAGGTAAATCAGATATACTAAAGCAAAAGACCAGAGATTTCAGGGGGAAAAATGCAGCAGAGGCTCAACAGATCTGAAAGCTGCACAGTGAGTGAGTCAAGCAGTAACTGCAGTATCAGGCCCGTGGTTTCTGGCTGAGGGGAAGCACTGTTTAAAGTGAAATTCAGTGTTGGATACTGAATGACAGAACCCACCATAGCATTCAGTAAATTAACCTAAAGGAATATTTGTGCTTAAAATTACATGCCTTGTAATAGGCTGTTTGACATCAGCGTTGGTTTGCTCTGCAGTGTGCTGCCAGAATTGAAGAAGTTCTTCCTTGCTGTCCCTGTAGCTGCTTTTAGGCTAGAATCAAATCACTACAGTCTTTTTTTTCCCCCTCCAAATAAAGCAGCCCTAATTGTTAGGCTTTCAATTTTTCAACTGCACCCTGGAAATTGCTCTCTTAAAAGCAGTTTGTCCATGTGCTGCGATCTCCAGGCTCTGTGCTGCCTTTCTCCCTTCCAATTACCAGCATTTCTCAGCACTGTTTTTTCAATCCTTACTCATGCCAGACCTCACCTGTGCTGAAGGGTAATTCATTGCCCAAGGCCACCTTTCTCAGCACACTGCCCCTTGGTAATAGCTTTTCTGCAGCTGATGACAAGAGCTCTGCATCCCGGGGTTTTGGCATCACTCAGGATTTTGTGCTTTAGTCCTTCAGGCATAAATATACCCAGTTTGTACGATTTGAGAATTTGCTGTGCTTCACAAGGGACAGTATTAATAGGGTCATTAAAGTGTAGCTCTTCACATAGCAAAAAGCTGCTTTTCAGTACAGAAGGATTACCTGTTTTCATTACAATCACAGTGAAAGACATTATATTGCAAATAAAACACGACAAATATCCACAGTGATTCTTGAATCATACATTTATGTATCTTAAAATAATACTGAGTCACACTAACACCAGAAACCCCCATTCCTCCACTGATATCCTCGACTAGATTAGGATCCCTCTATCTCAGAACACCTCACTTGAGAGTCACCAAATTTACTTCCCACGAGTCAAAACTCACATCAGCAGTACCAAGGATTCTCGTAGGTACCTCGAGAGCACAAATCATTCAGTAAGAAATTTAAAACCAGGTTGTTTTCAGTCCTTTCCTCATCTCAGCCTTTGTTGGAGAAAACGTTTTGTTTTCCTTACAGCTCTTCCTAACAGCCGCAAGAATTTCAGATATTTCCACTAAAATGTTCATTAGCACTACAAAGGAAAAGCAGGCCCTTATCAAGCGGTGCTGTGAGAACATCAAACGCACCGACAAGCAGATATGGCCTCATCTGTGATCAACAGCTTCCACTACTGATTAACCCTGCACAGCTCAGGAACAATGGGGTGCTTTCATCAGCAACATCCCCAGCTAAGAATTGAGGCGAGCACAACTGGTGCCTTCATGTTAAATAAATATCAACGAGCGGCATCTCCTACAGTAATTTCAGACTTCTGCAGGACCAAGACCACCTTATGTTGGCAGAAGGACAAAGACTATCCTAATCAGTCATTACAATCATTCTTGAGTTTCTGATGTATTAAAAGCTTGTTTACTTTTAACAGCGTACAAACAACCCATCCTGCTACCCCACAGGATTATTCCTATCAAAGTAGCTCACTCACTGAGCTGCTTAACCTTCAATTTCCAATTTCATTTACTTTGTGTCTCTGCCAGAGTTAGCTTTCAAATAATGGGCCTCATCAGCATCAAACCACAACAAAAAACCACAACTGGACAACGCTTCAGTCAGTGCATTGGAGACCTTAATGCTGCCTCGAGCAGACCCAAGTGTATGAACTGTTCCTCCATTTTTTGGAAAACACTGCTGTGCAACAGTTTGCCATTTGCCTTAGAAAACCTAAACAGCAATGTATCATGTTTAATTTTGTTCTAAATATATGTATGTTCTACTGGACAAGATTCGTTCTTTCAGCAAGGAAAAACCTGACCCAAGATTTCCACTAGCACTGAGCCAATCTGTGCCAGAAACAATTTGTTGTTATGGCATCTTTCATATTTGTGTTTGAAAGTGTTTTTTAATGTCTCAGTCATAAGACAGATGTTACATTTGAAGAAATTCAAGCTAAATGAGCTAACAATCAACTAGCTGCACTTGCCTGGCTGATTTAGAAACACGATGCTTTGCCAGAGCAAGACTTTTCACAATCACAAGACGTTTAGAAACTCCAACATAAACACACATGACAAAGAATACATTTGAAATGAAGTTTACCTCAGAACAGTGTTGCCTAGCTGTCAGAAAATCAGGTTTGTCATGACGGTAAACAGAACTTGCAATTGCTACGGCACTGTCTCCTTCCAGAAGACTTTGTCCTCTACAGCAACTCATGTCCCACCCAGCAGCAGCTGTTCATAATAATCAGCAGCCGACAGTGTAGAGGAAGCCCTTAATGTGCCGCCAAGGGGCAGTTTAACAGATGGCAGAGTGACATACAACCAAAATCATTAATTAAACTTCCATACCAGTCCCAAGGTGCACTGCTAAAAACTTCTCTGAGGAAGAGCACTTGAGATGAATGGCTGCCTGCTGCAGCTCATGCACTCGCCATGGGCTCATGGCTAATGCTCAGCCCTGCCAGAGCGCTGCCATTTTCAGCTTCAGGCCCTCCTTGCTCAAGAGAGCTATGGCAGGAAAAGCAAGTCTTCAGCTTTCGGTGTCAGCCCAATTTGTACTCTGCTATTGAAGCTGTAGGTAAAAACAGCTGTTAAAGGGTGGCTGCCAGAAGATTTTGCTTAAACTGCATCTCTATCGGGTAGAGGTTAGAAGACAGATGAAGCACCCAGTCATAAGAAAAATAAATAAATTTAAAAAGCAAGCTACCAACCAACCAAAATTACAGGTGGCTATGCCAGAGGGAGCTTGACTTTTTGGGAATGGAGACTGCACTTAGAAAAACGAGGATACCTGAAGAAGTTTGTTCAGTGTACCTATATTTCCTTAAAAACCGTCAAGCGATGGGCCTTCCAAAGCCAACCTGTAGTTAAAATACCAAACTTAATTTGTTTTCTCCAGCGTTTTTATACCATTCCCCTCCCTGTTTTACTCTAAATGAAAACACCACCGACAGGCATCGTCTTTTAGATAAACACATACACCTGGAGTCCAGCATTCGCAGGGACAAGCAGCAGCAGCACCAGGTCCCTCAGTACTCACTTCTAGCTTCTTCTCCTTCTCCGTCAACACGTCCTTCTGATTCTGCGTGTACTCGATCAGCATGCGTGCCAGCTGGCGCCGGTCCTCCAGCTCTGCTGCCAGCCTCCCATTGTACTCAGCCAGCAAGAGGCATGCTTCATCCACGGTCTTGGAAAGGCGCTCGGCCGCCTCTTTGTCTGCAAGCAGGAGTGCCTGGTTTTAAACTTGGTCCTCTAGATGACTGATTTCTGACAGAAGGGCTACGGCTCACTGTGCCATTCATAAAGATGCCTCTGGCTCTGTATGAAAACAATTCTGACTGCAGAGGACACAAGGGAAGCAGGCAGGGCTAGAGACCCAAGAACGGTGCTTTTCAGCAATGGGTGGGATTGACTACATTTTGTTCTCGCAGAGATGCTAACAATATGGGAGGGAGTCCTACAACCAGGTTCATTCAACTGATACCTCAGGCTGTACTGCTAGGACTTAGCTGAACAAATTAGATGGTGTGCATTTAATACTTTTCTACGAAAAAGTCCTAATGACCAATACAAGCAATCACATGAATCACCACTCTTCGCAGCTGGGCACAGCAAGACTATCTTTCAAAGAAATGATTAAGGGACTATTCATAATGAGTTATAAATTAAACTACTTCCAGGAACAGAAGTCAAACGGGTTTCAAATTACTTCTTAAAAACAATTGCATAAACTCAGTTTAAATAAAGAGTGAAAGACTTGTGAGAGTAGCAAGCTTCCCTTTCCATAGCAATCAGTGTGTACATGTTTACTCAGGACAATTCTGATAAAACTCAAAGGTATGTACCGTTCAAGGTGCTCAAAATCAATCATCTGTTTGAGAACTCTAGCTCTACTTCCTTTACATTCTGTCAAAAAGCCAAGAACGGCCAAACAAGGACACAAAAGCAGAAATTCACCCCCATGCACTGTGATTATTCACATTAAGGTGATGTTTTTTTTTAGACCAAGGTTCTTTCATCTTCCAGTTTCATACCTGTAATTTTCTCCAGTAATGAAACATCCTGAACTTCCTGAGGCAGGGAGGCAATTTTTTGCCGCACTGTTGCATCCCCTGATGCTGCATTCTCCAGGTCCTGCAGGGCTTTGATCAAATCCTCTGTCTGCAAGACAAGATAGGTCACAAATGTACACGAAAGATACAACGAATGTAACTTCTCTGCCATTTCCTACAGATGTGTCCTCTCCCATCTGAAATCATCTACTTAAAAGGACCCACTTCCAGAATATTTTTTGCAAGTAATCTTTCAGCAGTTGCATCCTAACGCAGGAAGTATGCATTCAATTTGCAGTACTCCAGCACTGAGGCAGTTTATGCACAATTAGAGGAGGATCATCACCTTCAAGACTCCACAGCGGAAAACTTCTCATTCCAGTCAAGATAAGTGACTGTTTGAGCCAAAGCCTGAAAGTACCACCTGCCCTTTGCACGGCATCAGATTTGGGCTGTTTCTGAACATCTTTCTGATGCCTCCCCTTAAAGTGCCAGGAGCCCATCTGCACACTGCTGCTCAATTCCACAGGTGCATTCTGACACGCAAACAGACAAAGCCCTTTCTATCAGTGTGAACCAAAGGGCTTCATATTTCCACAGCTACACTTATTGAAATCTCCTAAACTTATGGTAGGGGACCAATAGATGGAGCAAAGCTGAAGTTCACACCGCCCTGATTTAAGACACTGCTACCCTCAGTTAGGAAAGCTAGCTCTTTGGAAATGCAAGGCACTCTCACTGCGCTCCACTGCATCCCCTCAGCTTCACCTCTCAACTGTTTTAACACATCAGCCTAAAAATACACTCATACACTCAACACATCAGCCTAAATGAATACACTCAAAAGATATCCTGGTTTAAAAATGATGTGGATGAGGACAGCCTAGAGAACAGCTCTGCTGACCCCACGTACCTACCCTAGATAGCTCCAGAGAGCGGAAGGAGGAAGGGAGACTTCGTAAGCAGAAAGAAAAAGCATTTCATTTCTTTGCTTAATGCAAGTTTTTGTAACTGCAATGCTTGCCCTGGAAATAACATTGATATTTAAGCAGCATTTCAAGGGTTAGTTTGAAAACTGATAAAAACACTGAAAGCTTTTAAATAAGTACTTATGAAAGGCTTACCATTTTATCTAGGGAAAAAAAAAAAGAGCTTATTGCTTAACAGTTATAAATTCTTTGGAAACTGCTAACGACATCCAACAGTAACAAGAAATATTTATCATCAAGAGAAATCAAAAGTTGCAGGGCCTCTGGAGCTAAAAACAGCAAAAAAACCACCTCACTTCTTTCTTTGACAACTGAGATTTATTTTTATGTTTCAAAGTTTACACTCTACCAGATGGATAGCATAATATTTTGTATCCTTTTCAAATGAACATATGTTAAACCATTGTGTAGCCTTAAATGGTTAGAACAATCCTCTATTTCATTCCTATTGTTTCCACACCCCTTACATATCAGCCTCAAAAAAAACCACCTGATTCTCCCAACCAGCTCCCATGAAACCCAGCAAAGTTTGAGCTTTTACATAAAAAATGGAGATATGCCCGACCAATTAAAAAGAAAAAACAAAAAACCTAGTTGTGTTAGTGTTAAAGCATCAGCTTTAAGAGATTACATGTTGACTTCAGAAAGATTTAAGATATAGTTTGTTTTCTTCTAGCAGTTCTTTGCGATTCTTTACTGGTATCTATACTCAGATCTTAGCTTGGACTACCTGACATCACTTAGAATCAGCACAGGGTTTCAACACGGAAAAAGAATCTGTTAAATTTCACGTTAAGGTCTCAACCCCCAACTGCACTTCCCCATCCAACGCATTGTACTTGTTGGGAGCTCCACCTTGTGGTGGGACCGCAGGGAGGAGACCTGCACCACTTCCCCCACTCCCACCCCTTCCCACCTACCAGCAGTGGCCCAGCGCTGGGGTCCTGGGGCGAGTAGCTCCCAGGGTAATCATCATCTTCCTCCTCTTGTATTTGCTGAAAAGTCCGCTTCAAAGACGACTTCTTCTCTTCTGCAACTAAAGACACATGAGCAACTCCTTTGGATACCACATCTGCCCACGATCACAATCTCTACTTCAAAACCAACCATACCCTGCGCTCTGAGCCTTAGGTCTCTCTAAAGAGAAAGATGGCCACAGATAGGCTCCAACACTTGCACCATGTTCCAAATAATCAAATACAAAACAGCAACAACAGGCTGATTTCACCCACACAGACCTCTGCACACACACACACACACTCAAACTACAAGGTTGCAGTCTTCCTATCACAGTGCACATCTTTGAGCCTCCCCTGTTGGAAGAAGGAAAGGCACCTAAATGCCCTAATTTACCTATAAATGGCAGGTCTTCAACACTGCTAGGTTTCCCCAGTTATACTATGTATGCTGGTAAGGATTTTCTACCAGTAGAAATGAAGCATGGATCCCAAGATACATAAGGACAGAAGAATTTCAAGCTCTTCCCTGCACCAAGCATACGCTCGCTGCAGTCCCACAATCAATTGAGTAACTGCTGGTTATTCAACCTTTCACTCTTCCATCACAACAGACTCCAGGACAGCTCTGTCAAACTCAAGCTCTGCAGCATGATGTGATGGCAGCAGCAGCTATGGGCAGAGCACGAACCAATCTCCCAGCAGGGAACCTATAACACTTCAGAAATAATTTCATAAAGCAAGACAGTGGGGTGAATGAACCTTAGCATAGCATATCTTGCCTTGAAAGAAGACAGTTTATTAAATGAGTCAGAAGTCTTAACACAGCCTTTGATCCAATTACAGAGCCCTCAGAAGACAGACCATTCCTCAGACTTGCCACCACAATTTACAAGTCAGGCTCATTTGTAAAAAAGCAGAGGACAGAGTCCAGGGAACATCCTTGGATCAAACCCAGCCAATGGAGCCCTCAGCATTTACCACTGGTATGCACTTAGCATAAAGTAATTAACCAACAGAAGATAAACACAAGATAATCAATACAAGAATGAATGACCACAGTGCACACAGAAGCAAAAACATGAATGAGAACAGGGATTCAAATTGCTGAAAAACAGCTCCTGCTGTGCAGCCAACTGTTCCACCACAAGACACAGTTTTATGTTTGGTAACAACTAACAGAGGATCTGGCATTCCATTGAATTTCATCTGAATAAGTTTGACTGAAAAGACTCTACAGAAGACAGGTGCTTGGCCACCCACAGACTTCAGTAACAGCAGCCAGCTGGCGTGCCCCAAAAGCAGCCATTCCATGATGGGGGCATGGCAGCCAGGGGACACTGAGGCCAGGTGAGAAAGGAGCAAAGCAGGCTGCCCTCCAGTACCATTTTGGGCATGAATAGCACAACAAGTGTGGAGTGGCACTTTTTTTTTCCCCCTTCAGCACTGGTAAACATGGGCAGTAAAAGACCTCCCTGAAGAATATGGAATTACCATCTCCGTTTCATCACAACAGAAAAAAAATACACTTATGTGCAAACTCAAGAGCATTTGGTGGAAAGGGACCCCAGAATCAGGATGCCAGGCATAAACTATAACATACCCTGCCTGGGTAGCCTTCAAAAAAAAAACTAGTCAGAAATAATCTATCCACTGCAATCTCCATATATGAAAAAGCCTGTCAAATCCAACAAGAAAGAGAGAAAGCACTAAGAGCATCTAACACCAATCAGAATACAACAGCAGTGAATTGCACACAGCTTCTGAAACAATCAGGGTATCCCTGTGGAAGATGGAAAGATCCTCCCAGGAAAATCAAGAGCCTGCTGTTGACACCAACATGAAGACGACAGAAGCCATTACTCAAGTGGATTTCAGTTCTCCTGCTTCCTTTGGGGTCTTCCTCACAGCTCAGAAATTGAACTGCTCCCTAAAAGCCTCCGAAAGAGCAAAGCACTTTTTCCTCCAAAATAACTGACAATTGCTGTCATAACAGCTCTGCAGTGAATCTCCAGATTGCTGTTGATCTTGTTGCTGCTGTAGTGCCAGGAAAATCCAGAGAGAACTGTAAAGGTATTCCTCCACCAACTGGCTTTTCAGTCTTCAAATCATCTCTTGTGGCTCGAGAATTACAGTGTCAAATACTTCAGTGGCAAAGAAAGACTTTGCCTACAAGCTGGCAAAGCAGATCTTCCCACCTAGGCCACCCACCTCCTTGTTCTCATCACCTGCAGGCTGGTTTGAGAGGTAAAGACACTTCTTTGATTTCACTCGGGATCACACGCACAGCAACGAGAAACTGGCTGTGGATCCTATGTTGAACACAGGACAGGAACACACAGAATGGGAGAACTGGGAATTTAAACCTTTGCTCTGTTAAAAACAAGCATCTGATCGGATTTTTTTTAATCTCAACCCAGTACAAAACGAATACATGTCTATCTGAGGCCCTGCTGCTAAGGTAAGAAGAAACAGGCTGCACCGCTGGAACATTCACCAATAAACCTTAAAGATGTCTTTCCTCTCTGACACAGGAGTCTCCTTAATTTTGGCGAGTTTCACAACTCCAAACACAACCGGTGCTCTTCAACCAGCACAGAGCCACCCTCTTCAGAAAGCAGCACAACTCAATCATGCTGCAGTGTGAGAAAACGTGGAGAATCATCTGCACGCACCAGTTGCCACCCCTCAGGCTGAACCAAAGCATCTCCTTGTCACAGGACCAGATGCTCTGATGTCGTCACAGTTTTGAAGAGCCTTAAGTCTGCGGCAATCTGAAGATGGTGACACTCCCCATCTCTGAGCTACATCGACCCCGGATGCTCACAAAAGCAGGCAGACAGAAGGGCTGTGGAGGCCCATCACCTCTCGTTGTCATGACACGTGTGACACCTGTAAAGCCTTCATCCACCTTGACTACATTCACCAGTTTGAAAACAGAATAGAGTAACTACATCAAAGCCTTCTGCAATGCAGATAACTGACCAGCAGACACCAGGCAAACACCAGCTCACCTAAAGGCTGCAGACAACCCATGTGGAACGTGAGCTCACCACGATGAAGCTGCATTTGAGAACACGACAGCCAAAACAAGGAAAGAAATCTCAGAACTCCAAGGGTTTTTTCAACTAAGGGAAGAAAGCTGATTTTAACAAAACCAAATGAGAAAATCCACCACAGAGAACTGACAAAACAGCAATGCTCACACTTCTGAAAAGGCCTGGGCTGTTCTCTCAAATGAAAACCATGTATTTGTGCCTTCAAGTACCCAGCCAAATGCTAAGGTCCTCACCAACTGAACAACTGCATTTTCACTCTTTCCCACAAAGCTCTCTCAGAGCTGCACTTCCTATCAACTGTTAAGTCCTTAGGATAACAGTAGCAGCACTGATTGATTCCATCCAACAGCCAATGATACTGAACAACAGTTCATTGCAGTTCACCTGGAAGTCACAGCTGTGTTTCTTGGATGCACTGTATCATTTTGTTTAGCTAAAAAATGAAACATTTATCTAGGTGACCTAAGAAATCAACAGTTTCAAGCTAATCAGTTTGAAAAGAACTCAGGAATGTTAAGTTCCATCCTTTCCTGACAAACAGTTGTCTTAGGCCTTGTGCCCAGTCTGGAAAGAACACAAAATGAACGATTCCACTTCCAGACCACAACTGCCTCAGCCCTCCCAGAACTCATTTCCCCACCTCCCAGCCCCAGAACAGACCTGCGTGGGAGGCCCTGATGGAAGAGACAAGCCCTGGGGTCAGGTCAGCTGCTCCAAAGAAAGGTCAGGTCAGGGCTCCAAAAGAAAAAGCAGACACTAGGGATGAAGGCTTTTGTTGTAAGCTGCTAAAGCACCCATTCAGTAATTTTGCCTGAAGCACTTGAAAACCCTCCAAACTGCAGCCTTAGATGCCTTCACATACTTTGCCTTCACATAGTTTGCTCGTGCCCTCACGTTCATTCCATACCATTACCAACTTCAGCTTGCTATCTTCCTTGTTTTTACCATCTAAGAATGGCCTAAGAGTACTTTATCAATAATGAAGCTGTCTCACAAAGCATCATACCTCCTCTATGGCAGCCAAGCAAAATTCTGTCAAAGCATCAATCTTCAGCTTACAGAAAGATGCTGACACCACCTTCAGCTGCAGCGAACAAACTCCCTTGACCAGAGCACTCATTTGTAATGAGCTTCACTTTCCACAGCTCAGGTATCCTGTTGCCACCTGCTCCTCGTTACAGTAAACCCAGTAAATACAGTCAGACACCCCAGAACAGGCAGTATCTGTCAAAGCAGTATAAAAATACAGTAAATACAACAAGTTTACACTAAGTTTCTCATCTTTCTGATGATATGAAATTATTGGAAGTTATTACTTTCTCCTCAAATGACTCCAGCTGGTATAAGAAAAAAGACACAAGCCTCTGGGAATATATGCCAGCTTTCATTCCAGCTTTCATTTATCAAAAAGCCCTTGCCAAATCGTAATAAAATGTAAATATGCAGAAGGAACCACCATAATAACCCAGCTAACTACTCACAGACATTTAGAGCAGGACAACGTCAAACTGCTGTGAACACAACAGTTCCCTCCACCCTGCCTGCTTGTTTTCACACCAGCCCTGGTGCATTCCCCCACCTGCACGTGCAGAGGCAGAAATTACATGCAGGCTCACTAACAGCTACAGGGCAGCACACCTGCAAACCAGAACAGCAAGTTTTATAGAGTCACACTTCTCTCAAGAGAATTCTGACCAATCTCCATGACCAACCCTGAAAGCAACGCAACTACAGCAACCCAGAGCTTAACTTCTCACCATCACTCTGTGTTCAAAAAATAAAGTAAAATACTCCACAAAAAAGCATATGCACTTACCTTTAGTTTGGGGACTATTGGAGTCTTCCATAGAAAGTTTCAGCTGCTGTATGAACTCACTGCCATACACACTTCTTTCTTGCCAGATGTTAAGCAATCGTTCCAAGGGCTTTTTGCAGCCCTCATCTGCTTCTCTGCTCAAAGATCAGAAAATAATTATTGTTCAGCTGAAAAACACATGGAGCATTTTAAGAGAGCATCTTCCAAGCTAGCACCTGCATCCATGGCAATGCTCACACATTTGGAGAGATTCTCTCTAAGAAAGACTCTGTAAAACACATTTGTGATCAATTCTTCCCCTTCTGCTGGAACCAAAGATTGCCTGAAAGCACCCCACATTCCCACCCAATGTATGGGCAAGAACAGCTTTCAAGGAAGGAGCCCAACATCTCTCAGAACTTCCAAGAACAGTTAGTTATAAAACACCTTCAAGTTGACATGCTTACAATTCAGTGCTGACTTCAAACAGTTGTTTCAGTCAATAACATCCCAATTAAAAAGCAGGTTGTTTGGCTCATTAGGCACTCACACATACTCATTTAGCACACTGAAAGTTAGACAGCCATCCAGAACAATATACCACTAAATGCACAGAACATTGAAGCTCTTGTTTAACTGAGATAATAAGACTTATTACACTATTTAGGGAAAATCTTAACTAAGCAATAGTTTATCCTTACTAGAACTGCAGCTGCCTCACATCTTCCCCTTTAATGTATGAAATCCTTCCTTTATCTGGCAAGGAAGCCAATGATCAGATAACCATTAAAACAACCAATAAAACAAAAGAAACTACACCCAAGCCAGAAGAACGATGAGGGCACTGCAACCTGAGATACCAGGTCTGTTTTAGAGACTTCCAGCAATGAAGAAAAGGCATTCATTAAGCAGCTCCAGCAAACAGATGCAACTGTTCAGTTTTATCTACCCATGGAACAGAACTTCAGGATCTTCTGGTAACGATTAAAATAAAGCATACAGGAGCTGCACAGAAAGCACAGATGTCTGGATGTGAACCAGTTGCCTCACAACTTTATGCACATTTCCCCACAGAGAAATACGACCACAAAACAGTTCCTAGGTGCAAAGCAGGCTGAACCCAACCTCTACTAGAAACAAGGTGGGAACATTCCCAATGCTTCAAAGAAGTCAATTAATTAGACTTAGCATGACAAGAACACAAATCTATTGAGAAACGTTGAAGAAATACATAATGTAACAACATACCTGGCAACATGAGAAAAAGCATCCACAAGAACAGATTCGAATTCCCTGGTAAATTCAGGACCTTTCCTCTTACTGTTCTGGATGACATCATTTGCTAAGTATAGGAAAGTAAGTTTCCTACTTGATTTTGCTGGGAGGGGAAAAAAAAAAAAATTGCATTTATTTCTCATTTTTTGACCCAAAATCATTAGCATTATTTTCAAAGTGACTCACAGGTTTTTAGCCTAAAAACAAATCTAAAAAGATTTCAATTTTACCATGACAAATCAGAGGCTTTCAAGTCAAGCAGTCCTTAATCTCTTCAATTCTGTGTTTTACTTTGGTTTCTCCTAGCTAACTCAAAACAAACATGAGTTTAAGCCTTTTTTGTATAATACCTCATCTCTGAAGAAAACACTATGTTTAATTCTAGGAAAGTTTAAAAAGAGCTGCTCTAACCCACGTGTAATGTAGTAAGATTCTGTTCATCAGATTCAGGAAAAAAAAACACAACAATTTGGTATGCAACTAATTCAGAACTGAATGAAAGGCGAATACTATTGCAGAAACTCAGATGTTTTTTTTAGACACTGCTGTTTTGAAATAACTTATCCCATAGCTTCTCCCAATGTGGCACCACCAGACCTTATTTCACCACAGGCAGAAGCCATGGGAGATGCTGCTCTCTTGAGCACAGCAGTAGAGAGAGAAAACAGAGCTCTTGTTCTCACAGCAGGCCCCACTGAGAGCTCTGGAAGCCCATCCTGGATGGAAGGGGCACCAACCAACAGTCGTGTGGAGGTTCCTGCAGCATCACACAGGATGTCAGAGGTGGCAGCAGCTGCTTTCAGAGCTCCCTCAGGAACACCACCAGTGTCCCCATAAACTCACTGCAAAGTTTTCTGGGAAGTCAGTGGTGCTTCCTAAGGAAGACTTGAATCCAGCTCTAAGCACAGCGAGTACAGAGCATTTCCGGACAGCGCTAACAAACAGTTTCACAGATTTCTACTTTTACTTTGCTTAACTCTGGCTGCCTTTGTACAGCTCAGCAACAGAGATCCAAACCCACGATTTAGCAGGTGGCATCACTGCCCAGAGCACAAGGTTGGAAACACATGAACTGTGAGGCCTCTTCCAACCCAATCGTTCTATGGCTCAAAACCAGAAGCCTCCATTCTCTTTCCAAATCCCCACGTTCTGCTCTCCGCGTGAATTCTAGGGCCGGGGAGCATCGCCTCAGGCCGCAGCCGCACAGACCCGGCCCCGGGCAGGCAGACGGGAGGCGGCCCACGGTGGGGATGGATGCGAAGGTGAGCGGGATGAGGGGAAGCCCCGGGCAGGGCTACGGGCCCGCTCCGCGCCCACCTTTGCGGAGCTCCCGGTGCCAGACGGAGACGATGGGCCCTGCGTGCTTGCGGTGGTGGATGAGCCACAGCGACAGCGTCTGCACGCTCTGCTGGGAGTTGCTCAGCTCCGACAGCTTCTTCTCCAGCGCCGACTCCGAGAAGGAGGACATGGCGGCGGGCCGGCCCCGCGCCGGGCCTGCTCCGCCCGGGGGAGGGCGCGACGCGGCCGCACCGACAGCAACCCGGTGCAACAAGATGGCCGCCCGCCCTCTCACCCCGCCGCGCGGGGTCAAAGGGCAGCGTCTACGGAGCGCCAGAAGGGACAAACGGCTCCGCGACCACCGAGCGGGGCGGGAGGGCGCCGTGCGGCGCATGCGCGGCCCGCCGACGGAGCCCGCAAAGACGCCGCGAACGCGCGCTGCCTTTTAGTAAGAGGACGCGCACGCGCAGCGCGAGCAACCGCGACTTTTCTGGCGGCGCTCTCCACGCTGATCTCTCTCGGGCCGTTTGTCACGCCGACGACCCGCGCCGCGCCCCCGTCACTTCCCGCACGCGGGGGCCTCGCTACGGGAGCAGGTAGGCGCTGCCCCGCCGGCCGGCCCGAGGCTCCGTTCCGAGGGACGCCCCGCCATGGCCGTGTTCGACACCCCGCAGGAGGCCTTCGGGGCGCTGCGCCCCGCCTGCGTGCAGCTGACCAAGGCCCAGACGGTGGAGAACGTGGCCCAGCTGGAGGCCCGGCTGGCGGCGGTGGGCGCGGGGGCCCTTCAGGAGCTGCAGGAATACGTGCTGTTCCCGCTGCGCTTCGCCCTCAAGGTGCCCGGGCCCAAGCGGGAGCGCGTGGTGCAGCGCGTGCTGCGGTGCCTCCGTGCCGTGCTGCTCGGCACCCGCGTTACCGACCCGCGGCTGTTGCAGGAGCTGCTGTCCGAGCTCTGCGCCTGCCTGCCCGCCCCGCACGGAGCCCCGGCACCGGCCGAGGAGCTGCAGCTGGCCGCGCTGCAGGCGCTGCTCGCCCTGATGCGTTCTGCTCAGAGGGATGCCGTCGCCGCTCTGTACCGGCCTTCCTGCCTCCCGCTCCTCGGCTTCGCCGTATCTCTGCTCCTGGGTCTGGCGGAGCGAGAGAGGGCGAAGCAAATTAAGCTGTCCGCTTTGGAGTGCTTGCAGGTCCTGCTGCTGCAGGGCGAGTGCCAGGAGCACCGGTGGCTACGCGAGAAGCAGGCGCAGCAATGCGGGGATTTATTTGCTTCTTTTCTGCCCGGCGTTTCTCTTGCGCTGTCTCGGATTATTGCTGGCGATGTCAAACAAGGGCACAGAATCACTGTTTCTGCCATCAGACTCTTTTATCAGGTCGTTGTCTCGGTAATGGCTGATGAGCAGCTAGCCAGAGTCCCGAAGCAGAAAGAAAAGCCACCGGTAGAACAAAGTAGGATAGCAGAACTGATTGTCCATAGAGGGCCTGAGTGGAGCAAAAGTACGTCAGAAAAACTCTCCCTCCTCCTTCATAAAATCGTGGAACTTTGTTCAGTTCACTCTCACTGGAGAGTGAGACTGGAGCTGGTGGAACTTGTCCATCACTTGCTGAGCAACTGCAGGCTGTCGCTGGTGGACTCGTTCACCCACCTTCTGAAGGCCTTGGTGGGGCTGGTTAATGATGAGAACAGCGAAGTGCAAAGCAGGTGTAACGAAGTGCTGCAAGGCATTGCAGAGCAGCAGGTGATAACACAGAACAGGGCTCTCGCTGATGTTCTCTCAGAGAACCTCCATTCCCTTGCCACAGCCCTTCCTCGCCTGATGAACTCTCAGGATGACGCAGGCAAGTTTTCCACTTTGAGCTTGTTACTTGGCTACTTGAAGCTGCTGGGCCCCAAGATTAACATTGTCCTCAACTCTGCATCCCACCTCCACCGCCTGTCCAAAGCACTGATGCAGGTTCTGGAGCTGGATGTGACGGATGTGAAGATAGTGGAAGACAGACAGTGGGGCTGTGTGGGTGGTTACGACCCCTCAGGCTCCGTGCAGCACGGCGTGCAGAAGGGCAGAAGTCAAAGAAAATATTTCCGCTTCTTCACGGAGGAAAAAATTTTCCAGCTCCTTCAGCAAGTTTGTCGTGTTCTCGGCTACTATGGGAACATCTATTTGCTTGTGGATCATTTCATGGGGCTGTACAGCGAGTCTGCCGTGTACCGAAAGCAGGCTGCCATGGTCCTCAATGAGCTGATTGCAGGAGCTGCTGGCATGGGGGTGGATGTCCTTCGGGAAAGGGAAGTTTCACTGAGCATGGATGATCTCAAAGGGTCCATAACGTCCATTCTTGAGGAGTACACAGACCAGGCAAACTGGTATTTGGTCACTAGCATTGACACAGAGGAAATCGGCCACGAGCAGCTCTCTGTGCCACGCTCAGGACTTGCTGCTCTCCCAGGAGCTGCATGCAGCAGCATTCTGCCATCCCCAGACCCTCATGTAACGACGCACACCATGAACAGCAACGTGTGGCAGCTCTGCATCCAGCTGGAGGGGGTCGGATGCTTTGCAGCTGTGCTGGGGGGAGAGTTCCGCCTGCTTCTGCTTTCAGCTCTCTACCCAGTGTTGGAAAAGGCCGGTGACAGAACTCTGCTCATCAGTGAGACAGCACAGGGGACGCTGGTAGACATATGCGAGGCCTGCGGTTATGACTGTGTGCAGAGTCTGATTAATGAGAATTCTGACTATCTGGTGAATGGGATTTCCCTGAACCTGCGCCAGGTGGCACACCAGCCACATGCTGCCCAGGTCCTGAGCACGATGCTGAGGCACTCGGATGCCAGCTTGCTGCCACTGGTAGAAGATGTTATCCAAGATGTCCTGTCTGCACTGGATCAGTCTTACAGTGACCAGGCTTCTACCTTCCTCGGTGTCCTCCACTCCTTAATGGCAGCTCTAGGTATCTAAGTGATGTTTACTTTGCATAATTCAGTGTTGCTGTGACTAAGGGTCCCTGGCTTTGACATTTGGACTCGCCATGGGAAGTTTCAAGTAGCTGAGGTACTGCAACATTTACTTATGGGCAATAATAACCAGTTTCTTTGCTGATGGGCAATAATAACCACTTTCTGGCCTGCAGAGTTATGGGGGTGTGGTTCAAAAAGGGTAATTTTACTCCTCCCATAACTGTTCTGTAGAAGCACATGGGGTGTATTGCTGTGTCCAGCAGGGTTTTGACAGTCACAGGAGGTCCCGGTGATGCGACAACTTCTGCCTGATTACGCACTTCAATCCCACACTTAAAAGCCATGTTCATCTCAAGGAAACTGTGATAGCCTGTTGTCTTGCAGGAAGGAGTTATGAATGCTTAGTGACACACCAGTTCTTTTGCAGTCCAGTGGTTTGGGCCATCCTGCAGCAAGGAGCACCAGCGGAAGCAGGCTGTGGAGGGGCAGAGCAGGACTGTGTCCCAGATACAGCAGGAGATAACAAGTCAAGAAATGGAGCGGTTCTTCCTCGACTACATCAAGCAGAAGCAGATTGCAGAGGGCAACCTTTCTGACTCGGGTGACGAGGAGGCAGGTCAGTACAGGAGCTGAGAATCTTCAGCTTAGAGAAAGACGGTGATTTCCGAGGCTTCCTTTCATCAGTTGAAGGTCTCTGGGTGGGGTTGAAAGGTTGATGTGCTCGTGACAATCCCAGGTTTGCTCTGAGCTGATTGCAGCTCCTGTGAGGTGCTGCTTGGTGTTCTTGCTTTGTTATGTTCTTGGGGGAGGAGGAAAAACTATTTCCTCACTCATAAATGACCACTGTAACAGAGTCCAGGACCCAAACTTACCCCTTTTCAGAATCCTGTCACTAACTCGTGACAGAATCCTATTTCAGCTTCCTCACCCTCCCTCAGGAATCCCTATATCATTTTCTCCTGTCTCATAATACTGCTACTTCTTTCCCACCTGGCCTTGGAAGGCCCTGCAGACACTCATGTAGGGAATTCTGTAGTCTTTACTGGGCTATGGTGCGATCCTGACCTTTAAATACTTCGTCTTTAAATATCCATGCTTTTCATTTTTAATAAAAATCAATGGGAAATAAAGAAGTCTGTGGTGAAGAGAGACTGCAAATGTCAGACCAATTGCATTGTCCAGTGAAGAAAGCAAAACTTCCTCAGTCCCACAGTCTGAATCTGCCATTTAAGTGGCAGAGCTCAAGCATATACTTGACTACATCTAAACATGCTCAGAAATGCCACAGGTCTCATTTGGGAATTTGCAGAGTAGCCGTGGGTGGGTTTTCTGATCTCCCAGAATTTCCAAGTCATTTTCATGGTTTCAGTAACAGTTTTGTCCTCCAGACGAGGTTCCCCCCCTTGCTAAGCCTGAGCCAAGCAACTCTGATGCAGAAGGAGAAACTGCACTGCCAAGCCATGCTCAGCTGGCCAAAGATGTGATGGAGAGGTGCATCCATCTGCTGTCTGACAGGAACCTCCGTGTGCGGCTGAAGGTGAGTGAACAGTGGTGTAGGGGCAGGTGGTGCCCCTGGAGGGGCTGGTAGCCTCCTCAATGTGCACACAATGCACGTGGGGCTTCCTGCTGTCTCAAATTAGTGCTGACATATTCAGGACAGGCCCTCCAAACATCAGCAAGAAAAGGGAGAGAGTTTTCTGAAAGTATTCTGTGCAAGGAATGGCAGCCAGGCTGCGTGTGATCTTAAGGGTGGCTTTGTGAGAGCACGTTTCCTTGGTGCTCACAGTGAAGCCATCATGCCTCAGCCTTTGGTGGGGGAAGGAGAAGCGTTTTTGTCCCATCCTCCTACTTCAGGCTGTAGACTTCACAGACTAACAAATATTTCAGAAGTTGCTGGGGTTGTGATAAGCAAAGCTAGAAGCCTGGTTTTTTTTTTTCCTTAAATTATAAAATCCTTTGAAGGTGTCCTCCTTTTAAACTGCAAAGCAAGACAGAAAAATGCAGCAGTGAGGCATAACCCAGATTCTTACTACAGCAGCCTCAGCCCTATGAGGTGATTCCTGCTGCTGTGCAACAGGAACAGTGGGGTTCTGAGCACAGCTCAGCCTGCAGGATCCGGCTAGAGATCCTGTCCTTATTTCTGCCTGGCCTTGTACCCCTGCGTGAGTTACATCACTGTGCTGTGTGTTGATTTCAGAGCAGGCCAATGCTCTGAGCAGTGCTCAGTTATCCCAGCTCCTGCTGAGGTGAAACTGTACCCTTCTGTGTTAGCATCTTTCTTTG